TCAATTAGAATCCACATGCTCTGACCTGGACAAAAGAAATCCTTTTTCTTTTTAACGGCCATCCTCTAAAGGAGATAGGCCCACTTTCCCAAAATGACCTCACAGTGGAAGCAAATTGGACTTAATTTTTCTCTGAGACTCAACTCTAGGAGGCTATACCAGATAAGTCCTTCGTTTTCATAACAAACAAATCAATCCACAAACTAAGCCCACAGGCAAGCGGATCATATTGCCTAACTAAAACGTAGTTTCTATACTCGCAGCTAATTCAACTAGTAAAATCTAGTTTCCTCGAGCAACCACTAGCTTACCAATGAAAGAAAATTTTAAGCAAGAAAGTAGGTTACCTCCAAGACTCCATCCTTTCCGATTTTCCTCAACTCCCAACTAGATGTATCAAAATATGTCAAATATATTTGCCTTGTAAACTGTATGTTACTTTCACAGTTTCACATGCTAAACCAAAATTTACTTGAAGAATTTTGACTAGTTTATAGCATAATCATTCACTTATACCAAAATTTACATTTTTCAGTAATGGCATCTTCATTCATTATTGAGATGTAAAACGGTCAACAAAAATGGTTTCAGCCTAGTGAAAGGACCATATTCATCCATAAAATTGGGGTGGAGTCACGGGAAAAAAATGTTGAGCTTATGGAGAAAATATCAGTACTTAAAACTTAAATACAACCATAGACCAACAAAATAACTTTCTTGGCAAAGAAGGAAAGTGAGACATATAGTTAAAACTTAGAGTTAAATTCTCTGGTTGATTATCTAACCATGGACCATCAAAACTTAGATCGAGTCGAAAAGAACCCACAGAAATACCTACCTTTCAGAATTGCTGATGTTGACAGAAAAAAAAAAAAAAAAAAAAACTACACATGACTCATATAATTAAAATCATATCACTTATGAGATTAGAAGATTATTATAAAAAGTTTGAAAACCCACTGTTTGAACACCTTTTCGTTGAAGCATCAATGTTTCTAAACGTTTAATGAACTGCTGCATAAAACTGCTTTTGTCGCGAGGAGATGGGGTGTGGGGGGTTGGATAAAAAACCTAGTTTCTCTTTGGCTGGAAGGGAATAGGAAAAAAACTTAATTTCTTTGTTAAGGGAAGGGGACGGGATAGGAAGAACAAAAAACATAGCTAGAAACTGTCAAGTAAAGGGGCGGGAATATGAACCGCTTTGTTTCTTTTTTAAGAATGACATTAAAAAAAATGAACTTTAGCTAAATCTTAAAAATTGAGGCGGTTTTATAATCCTCATCATAATTCTATTTATTAAAATGTAGGTAAATCAAGAATATTAATCTTTGAGGCGGTTGTTTTGACTGGCTCAACAATTTTGGTTATATAACATTGTTTTGGTGTAGTGGGATAAAAATAATTGGTCTTAAGATTCGTCTAAGCACATTGCCAAGTCAAAAATTCTAATAAAAGGAGACAAAAAAAAAAAAAAAACATTATAAATGTATTTGAGATTAGTAAATAATATATTTAATACTTAAATATTGGCTAATTAATAAATTAAATTGAATATCACTATAGAAGAAATGCAAAATTTTATCCTTTTGTTAAAACAATTGTGCCACAAAGTCAAATTAAGAAATAAATAAGAAATATTTGTTAGAAAAAATGAAACAGATCTTAAAAGAAGACAACTAAATAAAGTGCAAGTAAAATAATTAAGAGCAGTAAAAAGGAAAGGAAATGGAAGTGCAGCAAAAAGAAAAATGAAAGAAATGGAACTCTAAAACGACAACACTTTGCTCCTCTAAAAATTTATGTTGTAGCAACAAATATTTTTTAACTAAATAATGGTGTTTTAATAAAGTAGACTCTAGCAATGTATGTTGAAAAAAATGGGAATGGAAGGGAGAAAGGAGAATGGTATATATATATATATATATGTATGTATGTCAAAGAGTGACGTAAAATTATTTTTATGACCTCACTTAGTAATTTATTTTTTTGAATTGAGATGGTTTTTTAATTTGATATTAGAAACTTAATAACTAAAATATCGTGAATCCGAATCTTTTAAAAAACTCTCACTTAATGAAATGTTTTAAAAAATAATATAAAACTATTTTTCAAGACTCACCTAATAACTTAATATGAGGAAAATAGAAATAAAAGGAAAATAGCTCCATTTCTTTTTAAATGTCTCCCTCAATTTGAAGGGGAAAAAAAAGATATTATTAAATCCATCAAATATTTTATTATTCTCATCAAATTTTTTATTGTAAATTATCAACACACCACTATATATCAAGTTAATGACTAGATAGTGATTACATGTAAGAGTTTATTAGTAATTTAAAATAAAAATTTGATGGAAATAAAAAAACATATGGTGGATTTATCAATACTAAAAATAAAAAAATAATAAAAAACTCATCTCCACTCACTTCTCCTGTAATTCACTAAAATATATGTTTTAATTAATTTAAAAATTTTCTTGAAATTCAAAACAGTATAGAAGTGACTCAATCAACTTAGCGAAATCGACAACTCACATAGATATATTCATGCCTACTAGATGATTTAGAATGATGTGTCCAAATTGTATTACTACTCTAAGTATCAAATGGATATAAAGATTATAAGTGGAGTTAGGAATCATATTTGCGGTTTATGTTGCAACTTGAGAAAGTAGTCGCTATAACCTATTTTTAAATAATCTTGGTCACATACCCCGTCTCATTCATCTGTGATCTTCATCGCAGTCAGGTATCATCTCTATTATTTCCTCAGTTTCTTAATAGATGAATCACCACGTATGATACATGGATTAAGACCAATATCTTTAAGGTGCATTTTCATTTTTAACTTCCCACTTTGATAACTTCCACCATAAGCCCATTTCAAACACCTTAATGCCAAGGAGTTTTTTAGCCTTCATTTACCTTCATCTGTGAGTCCATGAAATAGGAAGCACAGTCTTTTTGTTTAATTACCAGAGAAAGATCTTTATATTGTTTGGATCTGAAACGATGGATATTGATAAGCGGTGTTACTGAATTGGTGCAATGATTCTTACCCCCAGGTGGCAGACAATAGAATTTTGTCTTCTCCAATTATTTGGCTGAAGTTTCAAAGTTTCATCATACAGCAACAACTGTTCACCACGGCTTCTATTTCTTCTTATGGAAGAGTTTTTCTAAATTTAGTCATGATTGAGTTTGGAAGACAAACAATCAAGAGAAAAGAAGAATTTCTTTTTCTTATTTAAAGGAAAAATATATAAGAGTTTATTAATAAAATAAAATGAAAATGGTAGTTTAAGTTAAAAAAAAATTATAATATGTTTTTAATATAATCACGTTATTGATATAGTGTTGTTGTTGTTTTATGTGTAAATGTTTAGTTAATTTGTTAGACTTTACAATATAGTAATACTAAGTTGCCCAACAAATATATAATTTTTTCCCCCTTTTTTTTTTTTTTTTAATTCCCCCCACACACACACTATTTTATCTTTAGGTTTATTAATTTGGTTGTTTTTCATTTTTTGTAACCGATCCAATAAAAATTAATCTGAATAAAATTTATATTTTATCGTGAAGCATATATTTAAGTTTATATTTTTATTTATTAATTTTAAAGTGTAAAAGTAGATTTAAATTTATTAAAAATACCAGCATAATATTAAATATTAAAAAGACTAAAATAAAAATAAATTTTATTTTAGCTTTAAGTTCTCCCTAACAAGGTAAAGTGTCAACAATCAATAAAATCAAAGTCTGTTGTCGAATTCATTGCATTGTTGAGATAAAACACGATATGTACTACGAATGCAATCAAACATTAATAGCAATACAAATCGAGCACGAAATATCAACCTCAATATGGTTGTTTTAAACGTTTTTTATTTTTATTTCTAAACAAGGGAAGATCGAAGGTGTACGCAATATTGAATTTTTTTAGGTAACTTTAGATTTTTCAATCGGGGTCACCAACCTATTTTCTTATGAATAGGGTCTCATGCTGTTATAGATTCTGAATCAAATTCTTCCATCTAAAATCAATGTAAATTTTGATACCAAATGCTAACTTTTCTTCAGAAAGGACATCTATAAAATAGTTTAAAAAGAGAAGAAAATTATTCACAGATTTTGGCGGGGAGACCTAATTGAGAATTTCTAATACATTAAGGACCTAATGCAGAAAATAAATTTTAGGATCTGATTGAGATTGGTGAATAGCGTGGGGATTAATACGAGGTTGCCCCTATATATGTATAGCTACTACCATAGGCTGTTAATATTCATTCCATTATTGAGATAATTAACAGTCACATTCTGATGGTTGCATTATTGAGATACCTAATCATTCAATTTTGTTCATATGTTTGCAGCAATCCAATCCAATCCAATTATTTACTTATATTTATTAGTTAATGATAATAACGAATGTCAATTTCATTTCATTTATTGTCAAAACATCAAGTAAATAAATTCATATCAGCGTATGTTAAACGTTTGTGAATATTACTTGTCAACAATTTTTTTTATTTTTTTTTTGCGTCAATTATTAGGACACGTGTCTTCTACGAGGAAACATGTTGATAAGACAGTAATATTGCTTATAAATAAGAACTTCAATTTGCTGCAAAGCTGTGCTCAAGTTGTGTAGTGAATACTATTGGGGCAGCAATTCAATCTACAACTTTCCATTTCCTAGCCAGAAAAAGGTCCCTTCTTTTCTTCCTTTCATTTGGCTGAGAAATGCATTATAGGATCTCAACTATTTATGTTTGGTTTGCATAATGAAAAACTTTGATCTTAATTTTGTTAGTATTGAGCAAGAAAACGTTTACAATATTTTTCTGTACATATCTATTCAATTGAGTCCATTGAAAATGAATTATAAAATTCTCTGTAGAAATATTCTTTTTCTGTTACCATTATTTTAGGATTGGGTAGTGCTTCTTTAATATAGCAGTTCTTCTTTTATTTTAATTTTGGTATAGGTGTACAAACATGGCTAGACTGTCTTCTGAAGTGGCTATTGAAGGATTGAAGAAGCTTTTAATTGATAGGTAAACGGGTTTTTTTTTTTTTTCCCTATCATTGAGCTCATCATTTAATCAATTCTTATATAATAGAGTAATTCTTTAATTTATTCTTGCATTTTTAATTAAGTTAAGTATAAGTTAAAATTTTAATATATTATTTTGCTAAATTTTAAAATAGTAAATGAAAGTCTGCCATTTGTTTGGCCTTCTAGGGCATTTTAAAAATAAAAAAAATAATAACGTGACTAATTTCGATAATTTAACATTTAAATTTTACCAAAATAATAAATTAAAAACATAATATTTATTTAATAATAAAATTTACTCAATTATAATGGAAGAACATATTAAAGAATTATTTTAGTATACAAGAATAGATTGTGTTATTTAACTCTCTTAACTATTTTATGCAAGTACATATTATATGGATGAAATAAGGATAAGGCTATTAATCAAAATACACATATAGTTCTCAAACAAATTATTGTGCAATTAGTACTGGAAAATTTTTTTTACCATATTTTCTTGAGACATCCCAGCATGATTAGGACTTGATAATTAATTGACAATAACTCCTATAACCCTAAAAATATCTTAAGCCAAAACTTGGACAGAAACCCTATTCTAACAAATGTTCGAGTTAAAAATCTAATTAAAGCCTTCTCCCATGAATTCAGTTGAGAAGGACAGTGCTTACTCTTTCTCCTTTTATGATCTCTATATATTTAACTCAGAAAGTTGTATTGGAACGGGTACAAACAATTTTATGTTTGATCAAGTAATTATCTTGCTTCCAGTGAAAAGGATGATCAGCTGGACAAGGAGGTTGAGGCGAAAATTGAGAAGCTGATTTCTGAGTTGCAGGGGACAAGGCCCCATGACTGTGATCCAGTTAGAAGAATTATCGATGGGTTTCATCGCTTCAAGACCTGTAAATTTGAGTACGATAATGCAACTCAACCAAATGATTATTAGCTATTCATTTGACCAGCAATTTTTAAGGAAAAAAAAAAGTAAAGAATTAAATCCAAGATTAACATACTCTGAAGCATATAGATAGTTCTACGATTATTAATTCCTTGGATATTTACTCTTGCAGCAAGTATCCAGAGTTGTACCGCGAACTTGCAAAAGGCCAGTCGCCCAAGGTAATACATATTGTGTAATTGCTTTGTGTATAATCATTAAATCAAATGTAATATAACAATGATTAATAAAGATGTGTTTTTCTGCTAATCCCACGATGCAGTTTCTGGTTTTTGCATGCTCTGATTCCCGGGTTAGCCCCTCTCATGTCCTGGACTTCCAGCCTGGTGAAGCGTTCATGGCCCGCAACATTGCTAACCTGGTTCCTGCATTTAACCAGGTCTCGAGAACTGAATTCTGAAATTTTGATATTGTCAAGATTGCATACTTAATTTTAGGTTTAAAGTTCGTTTTCTCAATTATCCAAGCATATGCTATGTAAATAATTGATATGGGCACACAGTTGAGATACTCTGGAGTTGGAGCAATAATTGAATACGCTGTGGGAACACTGGAGGTAAATTTACGTTCATCTTTAATTCTTGTTGTCTTCTTTGTTTGCTTATTCACCAATTTTATTGGAGGAATTTCCGGTTGCTAATTACAAGAGAGTTTCACAGGTAGAAAATATCTTGGTCATTGGACACAGCCGTTGCGGTGGGATAGAGAGGCTTATGTCTCTCCCGGAGGATGGTTCCACTGCTAAGTAAGGTTTTCTTGTTCGTTTTTGAATTGTCATAAATGAATTATGTGGACAAGTAAGAATTAATGATGGAAATTCAAATTGGTTTCATGAATTTGTTAATTCATTTATGTGCAGTGACTTTATAGATGATTGGGTCAAAATTGCTTTACCTGCCAAGGCCAAGGTCAAAGCTGAGTATGGACATCTTCCACCTTGTAAGCAGAACCAGAAATGTGAAAAGGTAATTATTATTGCACAGTTTTGTAATAAATCAACAGCTGAATGAAGCTGGTGATGTTAATTTGTTTAGGCAAAATGGTTATGCAGGAGGCTGTGAATTTGTCACTGATAAACATACAGACATACCCATATGTTCGAGAAAGGGTGGAAAAGAAAACCCTGGCACTGAGGGGTGGTTATTATGATTTTGTTAATGGGTGCTTCCAGCTCTGGGAGGTCAAATCTAGCACAACACCACCTATCGATATATGAATCAAGATTCAAGATTCTCAACCACATGAAATCACAACATCTAGCTATATATGTTGTTTCCGTTACTCTCTAATTTGCTTTGAGCATCTGGTGCTTGTTAGTGTGGATCCAATAATGGGACCGACTCTGTGTTTTGCATGTGTGTTTCATTATGAACAATAATTTCAGAATGAATAAAAGCAGGAAAGCTCCTCGCTAGCTACTCCTTGCATGGTTTTGTCTGGTCATTTTCATTGCATTCAAAGTTACGCTTGATCCTGTTTTCGGGGAATTGAAGAACTCCAGGTGACCACATTGGTGCATGTCCCCATATATTGAATTGCATCGACATGCAAACAACATAATGAATGCATTATATAGTGGTGCCAGCTAGCATGAAAACAGATGAATAACATTGATTGGCTAATTCTATGACACGAAGCAAGCAAAGTAGTATGAATTGGTTTTATTTTGTTGGATTATCTGCAGGTTGCTTTGTTTGAAACATGGAAATGGTGAGGAGGTTAATTGAAATCAAGAATTTTAAATTGATTGGATTACTTCTAGCCTATTTCATTGCTAGATAACCAATTTCCTTATCTTGATTAGGCATGGCCATCAAGTGCAAGCACTTGAAAATAAACTGTAAAGAACTTGTTGATTTCCTTATTCTTTTTTTTTTTTTTTTTTTCACTTGAGGCTTCGGGTTTGCTACTATAAGCAAGTAATTCGAATGCTATAAGCTAACATCATTATTACTAGAGAATGGCATGTTTCTCGGGAAGTCCAGCATAAACAAGAGTTAACATCCTTTTGGAGTAGGCTTGTCGCTACCTAATTTCGAACGGGACTCCCCAAAGAAATTAAGAGGTCCGAGCGTTAATTATTTATAGAGTTTTGGAGTTGCCACCTAGTATTTAAGGAACTAGGAACCTAAAAGTAGCACTGGTTAAGAGATTCCTAAGGTAAGGAGTTGGTTATACTTTTAGGAAGATATTTAATCACCTAAAAGTGCCCTTTTCAAAAAAGGTACAATATATGGTTTAATTCTAAATTCATCTCCTAAAAATCCATGTTAAGCTATTTTCTAATTTTTGAACTATATATTTTTTTTAGACTAAGTGAAATTTTTAATTTTGGGCGTGGCATCATATTGAAACGATCGTCCGTCCCTTTCGTCGGATGGCACGTCGATTCAAACATCGGATCCACTAAAAGCCTTGACACAACCGGCGTGTCGGAGGACATCCTAATTAAAAGGTGATTTTTTGGTAACATCAGCCTCTATCAAATAAGAGACTTCGTTGAAAATTTTGAATTTGATGACATCGGTCTCTATTAGATAAGAGACTTCATCAATTTATTTATTTATTATTATGTTATTTTTTTGGTGACGTCGGTCCCTACCCAACAGAAACTTCACCAAAATTTTTAAGCATTTTTTTTTTAATGACGTCGGTCCCTATTAGATAGGAGATTTCATCAAGGTTTTTTTTTTTCTAGCAATACATATTAAAGAAAATAAAATAAATAAAATTGAAATAACAATTCTAAATTAATATATAAAAAAAGAAAAGGAATAAAAATAGATAGGCTAAAAAAAATTAAATGAATAATAAAAGAAAAAGATAAAATAAAATAAAAAAATCATCGTATACCTAAACTATTAACCCATAACTTTTACTCTCTTTTTTTTCACCCATCCCCCTTTTTTTTTCTTTTTCCTTCTTATTTTTTTCTTCCTTTTACTTATTTTTTTTCCCTAATTCTATTTTTTATTTCTTTATTACCCTTTTTTTTTTTTTTTTGGGTTTTTGAAAGATGGGCTACGGCCGGATCTCATTTTTTTTTTTAGGAGAAAGGGTAGGGGTCGAGTCGAAATATGCCCGACCCCTTTTCTTTTCTTTTTTTTTCTTGTCCGCCTCGTTTTGTTTCTCTTTTTTCGCGAGTCGGGCCGGACCTCAAGCCCGAAAACAAGTCCACTTGTTTTTGTTTTTTATTTTTCGGATAAAAAACCAAAATTTTCAAGTTTTAACTCTTTCTCTCTCCTCGTTCTTCATGTTCTTCAATTTCTCTTTCTATTTTCCAGTTTCTTAGAACTAAGAACTCGATTTCAAACAAAATAAGCCAATTAACATGCAACCTTTATACTCCTATTTCGATCACAACAAAAAAACCTAAAACTTAAACGAATTATGAAATTAACATTTAAAATATCAAAGTGAAAAAATAAAAAAATAGTGAAGGAAAAAATGATGAACACGGACACGGTATGCTTGATGTCGATAATTGAAGAGAAAACGAAAAAAATTTGGATCGAAATCGACCCTCGGGACGTTCTTAGAGAAGTTAGGGAACCGTTAATGGATCTTGGATGCTCGGATGAGCTCAAAATAGGGGATCGAAGTTCGACAATGTGAAGAAATCGAAAAAAACGAAACCCGTAACTAGGAAGAACGGGTTCAACTCGCCCAAAAAATGAAGAACAAATGCCAAGAATCTTCAAAGAGAAAACCTATGTATGGACAAATTGAACCCCACAAACCCAATAAACGAAGTTGAAGAATCAATGGATCCGTAATTTTAACCCCCAAAAGCCAAACAAAGAACAAAAGGGAATGGCAGTTTCAAACTCCAAACCCGAATGCATGAACACCAAGAACACCCGAAACAAAACCCAAAAAACGCAATTGCTAAAAAAAATCAAGACTCTTGCCTTTAATTTTCACTCTCCCCGAACCCATAATTCCTCTCAAATTTTCTCCCCATTTTTCCGTAAAATTCAAAACGTTTTATAGCAAAAAATTTCCTAAAATTTCTCTTAGAATCGAATCTCAAATCTCGAATTTTTTTATCAAAATTTTTCCTCTTTAATTCATGATTAATGTGAAATCAAAACAGGAAATTTGCTCATTGCTTCTCGTTAGTGTTAATTTTTACAACGAATCCACGATTAATACACAATCAAAAACAAGAAATTCATGGAGGATTTGGGCGGGTTCTCCTAAAGATTTTTGGAGAGAATTTGCATTAGAGCGAACGACAAGTCGTCTTCTCCATTTCGGTTTTGTCGTTCGCTCTAAACTTCCAGTTTGGCCATCGCGTTTCAATTTCAGCAATTACACCCTTCCGTGGAATAATTTCAGTATAATCTCATCAATTAGGTCATTGGGAAGCAATTTAGGTTCTAAAATTTTCAATTGATTCAATTATACCCATAATTACTTTAATTGTGTCCCTAAATGGAAATTTTTATGTTTTTCATCATTTTTCTTTCTTTTTCTTCTTCTTCTTCTTCTTTTTTTTTTTTTTAGTAAAATTCAAATAAAAATAAAAAATAAGCATAAATAAAAATAATAAAATAAAAATAAAAATAAAAAACAAAAATAAGAGAAATTTTGAGTTATTACAAGGCTCTTTTGGGTAATTGCTAGTGCTCCTAACATGAGTACTCCATCAATAAAAAATTTAATAAAACATCACCGGAGTGTAATCAAGGTCATAAAAAATAAAAATAAAAAAAGTAAACAAACAAAAAATATACACTCTCCAAAGTACTTTTTATTGGATGGTGTAAAGATCATAGTCTTAAAAAACAATCGTTAGATGATATAATGATCGTTATAAATGATAACGGAGCATCAAATTTTTGTTATTTGACGTTATAAGTGATCCGAAATCGTTTCACACAAATAACGATAAATAATTACATTGTCATTATGTAATGTAGATATTTGTCGTTATATTAAGATATTACATACACATATTTTTTTACGCCATAAACAAAAAATTCATAAATAAAAGATATTTATCTAAAAGGAAAAAAATGAAATTAAAGCACCGGGTAGGTATATTTTTTGGGTCGATAGGCCCTCAAGCAACTAGGCTAACTCGCTCTTTTTGGGCTTAGGCTGGGCTAAAACCAACCCAAGCTTTGGCCATACGAGCGAGGCTTAGCCTAGCCCTCTTGAATTTCCCACGGGTTGGGCTTGGGCTAGCCTTCCTCCATTTTTCCAACAAAAAAAACCTCTATAACATTTTTCTTAAGCCAACCCCAAATTAAACGAAGATTAAAAAAAAAAATCCTATACATTCAGTTTTCTTCCCTTTCACTACCTCTCATTTTTTTGAAAAAAGTTTCACCAAGATCACACGACTCTTTTCTTTGCTCTCATTCTGTTCCATTTTCAACATGTTTTTTTGACTCATTCTTTGCTAGCTTCTTTCTTAGATCCTCGAGAGCATCAACAACTTCGAATCAAGATTGTGTTTTAATAATCTACCTTAAAAGGAAGCTGACCTTTGTTCTTGAAGTGCCCTCTTTATCCTCTATTTCATTCGAAGAGGTCTAATTCCTTGTCCTTAAACTCCTTGACAAACTATTCATGCCCTTTAATATCCTCTCGTTTTTCACTTCTTCCCACCATATTGGATTTTGCCATTCATCCATTTAATAGAATCGAAACACGACCAACTTGAACTTCTTATTCTTGTTCTTGATTCTTTTGGGCTTAGTATAGATCTTCTTCTCGTCTCTCTTTGGTTCATGGATCCGTATAGCTAGTGCCAAGAAGGGTCCTACTAGGCATAGACTTATCATTGTGTTGTTGTTCATGGGTCTTGTTACGACGACTATCAATCTATTTGCAAAAACCATTTTTATGAAAAGGATCGAGCAAGAAGTGATTTGATGGCATGGAAGAGTAGGTGTTTGTGGTGTTTGTAGAGGGGAATGGTTAACGGATCTCAAATCTCATCCATCAAGTGTTTGATAAAACTCTTCTATGATCTCCACTTTGGGTGCCTCCCACTTTTTTAATTTGTTGCCTTTTGACTCGCTAGGATTTTCATTAGTGGGTTTGAAGATGGCTTCCATGACAGCTTAGAGGGTTCTACCGATCTAGGTGAAAGATGTTTAGGTAGGTTCAATGGTGAAAGAAGGTTGGATATTGGTGTTAATAAAGGAACGGGGCTCATGTTGGTGGTGGTGATGGATGAGGTTTGTTCTTAGGTGTTGAGAG